AATTAATCATTTTCCGAAAAGGTTTTATAAAAATTTCTCAGATCTTTAGTTTGAGTCTGGAATCACATAAGTGTTTATCCAAATCCCTCAAACCGGGGCTCTAATACTGACTTGTAACTCCCTAAGAATCACATCCAAAAATTTCATTTTAAAGTTAAATAGAAACATTGTTTCCACGAAAACCAAGTCAAGAAAATCATAAGTCTCAAAATACAATTATCCCAAAATCAGATTATCACAAAATACGAAATCATGAAAGCTACCGAGGAGAGTGTACACTCAAGCCTTCACCTTTCCACGATAATCTAAAGTAGCTGAAACACATTTAAATCCATAATTGTAAGCATGAATCTTAGTAAGTTCCCCAAAATATCACATACAACACATCATAATACACAACTATGGGTTATCAGCAACCCTAGGACTATCAGTAGTCTTGAGGACCATCAACAGGCCTATGAGCTCATAGCAACCCTATAGGTTATCAAAAACCACGTGGACTATCAATAATATTGGAGTTATCAGCAACTCAATGACCACACATAACATCAATCATCAAATAAGACTTCACTGTGACATAGGTAATATAATGAGAAGACTCACCTCGCAAACAACAAGCTAACACAACAACTCTATGATGGAGGAGACCAAACTATCAGACACCTAAACACAGTATACAAGTAGCCTCTCAATCTACGCTCTAAAACTCTTAAGTTGCCCAAAGTCAACAATGGTAAAAATTCAACGGTCAAGGTAACCCCAGCTGACCGCCACATCGTGACGATGTTAGGACAAAACAGTCACGAAGTTAGCCGTTGCTAGATGATGATGGTCAATCTGTCACGTCGTTTGGACTGCTCTGAACATCTTAATGCCTAAAGCTCTTAATCCTCCAAGTCATGCACTTAAACTTTCCAGAAGGCTTTCTCCATCCTAAAGCATCATAAAAATCATTGCTTTTTAGACATTCATGTCCAATGCATGTCTTGAGCACAAGTTAGGTAAAAGTGAAGAAAATGATATCAAATCTCATGCATGGAACTCATAACTCAAAAACCTTCCAGATATGGAACAAGAGACACAAAGGAACCTCAATGACTCATAAACTTGCTAACTTTATAAAATCCCACCACTAAACTCACCTCAAACATGGAGGAAAATGGACAAAAACCTAGATCTAACATGCTTGGAAACAAAAGGTAGGAGCTTGATGACTTACAAGGGTCTAAACGCTACTCAAGATGACGAGGGAGAGGCTTTCTTTTTAGAACAAAGCACAAGAAAACCTTCTTCTTCTTGAAGGGCTAGAATCACCACAAAGAGTTCACAAGGTGAAAATGGAGGCTAACATTTCATGGAGGGTGAAAGGGAGGTGATGAATGTTGAGGGTTTGCAAACCCTAGCCCTTACTTCCCTTAAATAGGGGCACAAACCCCAAAATTTGGGTAAAGCCTTTAGTTGGACGCCACATCTTGACCATCAACTTGTAGCATCATATCACGCGAGGTTAATGCACGTTCTATTCAACCATAGCTATGTCGTGGTGTATCCTTCACAACTTCGTGGCCATCATAAAGTCCACATTTTAACTCTTTAATTGCCCAAAACATAAATGAAGAATTTTCCTACAATAGGTATTCCACTTTTCCATTAAATCAATACTTACATTAGTTCTATTTGATTTTGGAGAAACTTGTTCTTTCGTATCTTATGATTTTAGTACAAATCTACACTACAAACTAGAAAATTTAGAACAATACTTAGAAGTATAAATATAATGTATGTCTTCTTTATATAAGGACTATGAAATAGAGCTAACATACAAATTAAAACCAATATCATTTTGATTCTAATGATAGAAATCACACATTGTCATGTATATGGATTCGTTGAGTCCACAACATTCCATAATTGACTGTGAAAAGCAACAGATTAATATCAAAAATCTAAGTAGGGGAGAATTGGCTATTCAAGGGGAAGGGAGGAAGAATCAGACCATAATATGTTCAGGAGTTAAGGCTCATAAATACTTACACAATGGATGTATTGGATATATGATATATATGCTTAATAATGAATCAGAAAAGAAAAAGAAAATACAGATGTACTAGTGATATATGAATTTTCCAAAGTATTCCATGAAGAATTGCATGGTATTCCTCCGAAAAGACAAGTTGAATTTGGAAACAATCTTACTCCCGCTGCCGCACCAATAGCCAAAACATCATATAGACTTGAACCACCCAAAATGCAAGAGCTATCCGCAGATCTACACAAACTAATGGATAAGAAGTTTATTCGTCTAATAACTTCTCCATGGGGAGCATCAGTTCTATTTTTCAAGAAGAAGGATGGGCTGTTTAGAACGTGTATTGATTACAGAGAACTCAATAAAGTCAAAATGAAGAACATGTATCCAATACCAAGAATTGATGTCCTATTCGATCAACTACAAGGAGCAACTTGGTTCTACAAGATCGATCTGCAATTAGGATACCATTAGATGATGGTGAAGGAAAATGATATATCCAAGATAACATTTTGTAGCATATATGGGTGTTAGGAATTCGTTGTGATGTCGTTTAGACTTACGAAGGTACCATATGTATTCATGGATCTAATAAATCGGGCATGCAAACCTATGCTTGAGAAATTAGTAATCGTGTTCATAGATGACATTTTAGTGTAATCTAAGACAAAATAAGAACATGTGGTCCATATACAAGAATTATTGGGAATCCTAAGTTTCTCGAATCCTTAGATTCGAGAAACTCAATGCTAAGTTCTAAACATGTAATTTTTGGTTGCAAAAAGTCCAATTCTTAGGGAATATCATCAATCAGAAAGGTATCATGGTTGATACATCCAAGATTGATGCAATGATGAACCAGGAGGCCCCACAGACTCCTATCGAGATAAGAAGTTTTGTTGGTTTGGCAGGATACTATCGAAGATTCAAGAATTCTCTTAAACCGCAGTACCATTAACCAAGTTAACCAAGAAGAATGTTTTGTTTAAATGGGGTAGTGAATAAAAAGAAGCCTTTGAGATCTTGAGGAAAAATTTGTGTGAAGCTATGGTTCTAACTCTTCCAGAGGGAGTTGAAGATATGATTGTGTATTGTGATGTGTCTTGTCAAGGTTTGGAAGTAGTCTTAATGCAGCTAGGCAAGGTGATTACGCATGCCCCAAGACAACTAAAGTCACATGAAACCAATTATCTTACCCATGTCTTAGATTTGGCATACGTGGTCTTTGTATTAAAGAATTGGAGGCACTACCTGTACGTAGTGAAAAGTACTATTTTCACGGATCTTAAGTGTTTGATGTATCTTATGGATCAACAGAACGTAAACAAGAGACAACAAAGATAGCTGGATGTGGTAAAGGATTATGATTGCAAAATACTCTACCATCCGGGAAAAGACAACGTTGTAGCCGATGCCCTTAGTAGGAAGATATAGTACTCTGAATCCTATGTATGAGGACGATTTTGGTGACCCTGCTCTTAGACATGATCAGGAAAGCCTAAGGAGAAGCTATCATGGAAGATAACCAAAAGAAGGAAAAGATTAAGCGCCAAGTCCCTAATTTTTTCAAGGATAGTCGAGGGTTATTAATAAGATACAACAGGATTTGAGTTCCATTCATTGGTGGAGTTAGACAATTAGCTATGGATGAAGCTCAAAAGTCAAAGTTCTCTATTCATCCAGGAGCTACAAAGATGTAGAAAGGCCTAAGAGTAGACTATTGGTGGCCATCTATGAAGTTAGATGTGGCTAAATATGTAGAGAAATGTCTTACATGTCTGAAAGTGAAAGTCGAGCCTCTTAAACAGCATGGGAAATTATAGCCTTTGGAAATTCTAGTATGGAAATAGGAACACATCACCATGGACCTAATCGTCAAATTTCCCCAAACCCCAAGAAATTTCGATATTATATGGGTTGTTGTTGAGCGACTAACCAAGAGTGTCCATTTCATTACCATATGGGAAAAGTCCTCCTTGGAATAGTTAGTTGTTATTTATGCAAAACAAGTGGTGTCAAGGCATGGAGTGTCAGTATCTATAGTGTTAGATAGAGATGTTGGGATATTATTCAAAAATTGTTTCAAAAACATAAACGTAGTAACAGAAGACTTTAGATTTGAACAAAATAAAACTAGCTTTATTCCAACCAAAATGTCATTTTGCAAGACTTAGAAAGATAAAAAAAAAACCATAAAAAGAAAAGTGTTACAACCTTTAAAGACTTTGATTGTCATGGGATATTGTAAGTTGATGAAGTTTGGCATAAAACTTTAAGGTAGAAATTCTCTAGTGATATCCACCAACAATAAATCAACTTGATAAGATGCTAGTCTTCTTCTTGTAATAAAAGATTCTCTTAAGCTCTTAAGAACTACTACAAATTAGGGAAAAGAACCCAGTTAAAAGCTTAAAAGAACCCGATTTTCAACCGATTTTTAATGGGGCGAGTCCTATGTAAACATATGGATAAAACCCGGTTTAACAACATGGACTTATTAATATAATATATCCTGGTTCCTGTGATAAAAAACCAGGTCCTTTCATGGGTTTTTCTTCCAATCTAGAACACTTACATTAGACTATATAGCCCGGTTCTCCTCTACACAACCGGGTTCTAATATGCCTAATCTTGTTCGTTTACATAACTGTTTGTAATATGTGCAACCAGGTCTTTTAACTTTTTTTTTTATAAATTTTTTCTAAATCTATAAACTCAATTCTTTTTACCGACGGAATGCCTGCTGCAAATCCATCCGTAATTTGAATTTATTCTTTTAAAAAACTTGTAAAATGGATCTTTTATTTAAAAAAACCAACAACCAATAATTTAAAAAATTCAATCTTTTTTCTGCACAAAATGCAAAAAAAAAAAGAAAATCCAATACATCTATACTAATATGAATCTGAAAAATAAATCTACAATAATTCAAATCCAATACATTTATATATTCCAAAACAAAAATTTTATACTCTTACCTATCAAAAATAATTTCTCCTACCTTATTTATATACAACCTTATCTTACTAAACAAAATTTGCAACACATGTATTATCACTAGATAACCAACAAACTAGTTGACCTCCATCAATTTGCCAAAGATAAGAAATGCTTGACATTGCCTTCTCAATCTCATTGCCAATTGATTCCTGGGATGAACTTCCCTCTTACAGAAGAGAAAAACACTCTGGGTAATAATCATAAGCAATTAATAAGAAATAAAAAATTAGCTAAAACTTTAAGAAATGAATTGAATGCCTACCTCAGGTAGGCTCAATGCTTTTCAAGAAGCTAACTACAAACAAAAAGCCCTTTTTAGCTTGCAAAATAGATGTAAAAAGAAAATAAAAATTCAATAAATCCATATTAAGTTACTAACAAATGTAACACAACAAAGACTATCTGAATAACCTTAGCTTGACAAGAAAAAAAGGTATTGTCGAAATTCAAACTCCATGAGGAATCATCATCAAGAATTTTCGACAGTTTGTTTTTAAGGCTCATACACACAACAAAAGCATGAAAAAATACAAAATAACAAAAAATCAACAATATAACATAAGTAAACAAGGCTCATACAGGTAAACAAAGGAACGAACCATATCAATCAATAAGTAGGGCAGTCAGGTACAAAAGATTCAAAGCCCCAATGCAGCGACATTCCAACAATGCAAAGCAAACTCAGCAAAAGCCATACACCAAACCCAAGGGCAAAAACGTCAACAATCCCAAAAGTAGCATACTCAATGGGGCGCTAACATGGGTACAACCGTCAAAAGCCCCAAAATAACCGCAGGTGTTGAACAACAAACTCAGATCCATAGTCATCACTTACTCCTTTTTAGATTTCTAGACGAAGAGATAGAACAAAATAACGAAAAACCATCAAGCCAGTAATAAATCCTAAATCAGAACATACATAAAACAAACCAAAAGGGATCGATTAATCAAGTCATCTAAATAAATTCCAATTTTTGACGTACATAATGAATGATACTAATTTAGCAGTCGAAATTGTACCTCAATTGTGTGGCACTGGTGAATATAGTGGCAATAAAGTTTCGATTACGTTGTTTCAGAGTATTAGGCTCTTCGATTGGGTATTCAAGTGGTGATTTTCAAATCTTTCCCTGGTCGTAGAGGGTATCTTTGAAATCGTATACTAGGTCAAATGACGGGATATCGAAATTTGATAGGGTTGCACACCAAAATTGATGGCGGGATATCAAAATTTGATAGCAGGGATACCTAAAAGTGTTGGCGGCATATCCAAAACATGAGAGGCTATACTTTTATTTTTTTACATCACACACATATATCAAGGTTTGATTTTGTTACTGTTATATATATATATATATATATATATATATATATATATATATATATATATATATATATATAAATAAAGAGAGAGAGGTTCAAAATATAACAAAATAACATTGTCTAACCACATAACTAATTGATTCCATTAGGATCATTATATCAATGCATAAGTGTGATAATAGATTAAAAGAACCACACACATAATATCGTATGAGCTTTGTATATATAATGAATAATTACAAACTAAAGGATAAGCTATAAAATACAAGATAAATACAATATTTAACAGTTATAGATCGATATTATCTATTATCCCTCCTCAAGCGAATGGGTGGTGGACTAAGACAAAGCATAGGTTGAAAGAACTAAAAATGAGATCGTGAAAAACTCTTGGTAAAAATGTTCGCCACTTGAAGCTTGGTCAAAATGAATTTGGTGTAAAGTTTGCCAGAAGTAACAAGTTCACGAACGAAATGATAGTCAAGATAGATATGCTTAGCACTCTTGTACGCTACCATATTTTGAGAAAAAACAATACACTTTTTTGTCATAAAGTAAAGTTGGCCTTCCAGGAGGTAATGCATGGAGTTGTTGAAGGAGGTGAATGATCCAAACAATCTCAGCAACAATATTGGTTATTGCATGATACTCTGATTCACAACTAGAACGAGCAATGGTAGGTTGTTTCTTTGCACTCCAGGAAACCAAGTTGCCTCCTAGAAAAATGGAATAACCATATGTGGAATGTCTAGTTTCAATACATCTTGCCCAGTCAGCATTGGAGTAGCCAATAATGGTATTTGTGTGTGGGCGGCGAAAAAAGAGACCAAAACCGATTGTGCCCTTTACATAATGTAAAATACATTTCACATACTGAAAATGAGCATCAGTAGGAGCATGCAAAAACTGACTTGCCTAGTTTACAGCATATGATGGGTTTGGTCTTGTGATGGTTAAGTATTGAAGAGCCCCAACAAGAGAGCGATATAGAGTAGGATCGGAGAATGCAGAACATTCAGATAGAAACAGTTCACTTGACGCCAAAGGCGTGGAGACTAGTTTGGAATCTAGTAGATTGGCTCTCATAAGGACATATGTAGCATATTTTGATTGAGTGAGAAAAAGACCATCATCTGTATAAGAAACTTCAAGTGCCAAGAAGTAGCTTAAGTCACCAAGGTCATTGATATCAAATTCTTGATTTAGACAAGCGGTAAATTTAGTGATAATTGTCTCCTTGTTTCCAGTTAGGATCAAATCATCAACATAGACCAACAAGTACATAATAATATAATATTGAGAGAACACAAAAAGAGAAGTGTCAGAACGACTGCATTTGAAACCATAGGCAATCAAAAAAGAACTTAAGCGATGGAACCAGGCACGTGGAGCGTGCTTTAATCCATAGAGTGCTTTTGAGAGTTTGCACACGTGGTTAGGAAACTGAGAGTCAACAAATCATGGTGGTTGTTCCATAAAGTCCGTCTCATTGAGCTGACCGTGAAAGAAGGCATTTTTGACATCTAACTTGTGAAGACGCCATTTGTGTAATACCGCAAGTGAGAGAACAATCCGAACTATGGCTACTTTAACTACGGGGCTAAAAGTATGTGAATAGTCAAGGTCTGGAATTTAAGTAAACCCTTGAGCTACAAGGCGTACTTTAAACCTTTCCATAGTTCCATCACTTTTGAATTTTGTATGATAGACCTATTTAGAACCAACAACATTTGATGAATGAGGTCTTGGGAGAAGTGTCCATGTACGGTTTTGGATGAGAGCCTCCATCTCGTCGCACATGGCTGCCATCCATTGAGGGTGCTTAGCTGCCGATTTGTACCCTTTAGGTGGAACATCTGAGAGAAGTGCAACATGTAAGGCATGAGATACGAGAGATAAAAAATCAGGAGTATGTTTGGTCATAATAAGGCCTGATTTTGAATGAGTTTGCATTGGGTTAGTGGAAAAAGGTCCAGTAGGAGCACTTGCATAGGAGAAGAAGAGGGAGGTGATTCATCGTTATCGGATGATGGAGAAGAGGCAGCTAGGTTGTTGGTATGTCCAGAGGTCATCGAGGGAATCCCATGGGTAGTAGATGGATAGAACCCACATAGCATAGTGGGCCAAGGTAAAACCGTGGGTTGATGTGGCTTGGGCTGGGGTTATGCAGAAGTGGAATTTGGTGCGGAGGCAGCAGGAGGTAGCCCATCATCCAGAAATAAGCTGAGTTCGAGTGTAGAAATGGGCACATGAGATGCAGTACTCAAAAATGGGAATGTGGATTGAAAGAACCCCTTTCTATACTTTCATATTTCTGAAAGACCCAAACTTTCATACTTGACAATATAGTTACTCCATAACATGCTACATGCATATTCATAAAATAATATTTTTACATTGATAAAGTCATTACAAAAGATTGGATACAAACCGACTATGTTTTAAGATTTTACATGACTACCCAGGATATTGTAAATCTATACAAACCTAAACCAAAATACAAAAAAAAAAATATTACAACTATTCTAAGTCTTCCAACTATACTGGGTGCTTATTGCCTGCATTATGTTAAAACATTGGGAGGGGTAAGCGATAACGCTTAGTGAGTTCAATAATAGATACAATACAACGTTATGCCATATATATACCAATATGGCAGAAGAAAATAGGAGCAAGGAACAACAAAGGCATAATGTGATAAGTTTTCCCTAACAATTATTGATTTGATTCAAAGATATACAATCATTTAGACATAACAATTTCCATACTTGATAAACATCAATAACGCTTCGGCCCAAATGGCACTGAAGACAAACAATTTCTGATTAACATTAAGGTAGATTTCAGGTTTTCACGCCCTGTCTAACCTTCTGCCAATGCCATAGAATAGAGTCATTCACTTACTGGGGGACATGCTCTACATGGCCAGAGGCTACATACCAGTACCACTGTGAATCTGAGTTCTTAAACTGATCACGTGGTCAAAGGTATAGCTTTGCTATCATAAATAGCAGCAATAAAAATAACACGGGAAAATACTCAGGAATATTAATCTACCGAAGCCAAAGTGATGCCTATGTCATACACTTCATGGTCAACGGTTCATACCAATACCCAAGTGATGCCTATGTCATACACTTCAAGTCAGAGGTACAACCTTGCTATAAAAATAGCGGATACAACAACTCGAGAGGATAACATGGAAAAGCACATAGCACATATAACACATAACATACAATTGTTTCTACATATTAAACTCACCGTGAATTAACCGGGGGTCAAAATAATAATTTGGGCAGCACTTCGGCTATAAATATGACTTTCGTCGTTGAAAACCGGGCTTTGCATAGGTTGGGCTTCGAAACCGAAAAGATAAATTTTCCGGGTCTTCGGGCACTTCGGGGCGTGTTTCGGGCGTTGGAAATAATCTCGGGGCTTCGGGGGATGTCAAAATAGTAAAAATATTGAAAAGGGGTGAAAAAGTGGCAAAAATGAACTTTTCCTCGGCAAGGCTCGCAGGCACTATTTATAGTGTGCGAGCCAGAGTATTCAGATCCGAGAAGTAGCGAGTCAGCAGCGACGTGGCATCAGGAGGCGAAGGCATGCGGAGCGAGCTCGGACGCGACACGGAAGCAGTAGCGCGTCGGATGGCTATTGGTCGCGACGTTGGTCAAATCCGAAAGCGGCACGCATCGGACGTGCGAGGAACCGGTGATACGTGGCGCGCATGACTCATCGACATCGGATACGTGGCTGATCGCGGTGGCCGGCACTGTTCATGCGATATTCCTCGGGTCTTATCCACAATTTCTCAGTTTTTGTGCAAAAATCTTCCGAAATTCATAACTTTTGCATACGGGCTCCGTTTTTGACGTTCTTTATATGCACGCGTAGAGAAAATTATGCTCTACAAATTTCGTTTAGACTTCGTCGGAAAATTTTGAGTTTATTTTTATATTATTATTTTTAACAGACCGGGACTGGTAAATCCGTTAAAAATTCATAACTTCTTCATCCGACGTCCGTTTTCGTCAGACTTTTTACCATTGTACTACTATTGACGAGACCTTCGATTCTCATTTAGGTTTTGTCGGTTAAAAATCACTCGATCTAAAATTCGAGTTTTTAGCTGTCTACTACTAAGCTGAAACTTGTAAAAATCATAACTTCCTCATACGAAGTCAGATTTTGGCGTTCTTTTTATCAAAATTCTCGGTTTAACGAATACTACGACTTTCATTTAGATCACTAAGGCTAAAAAGTAGTTTATCAAAAACTTAATTTTTACGTCATTCGGCACAGTGCCGACTTTATCGCGGATCTTCAATTGGTCATAACTTCTTCGTTATAACTCGGATTTCGACGAGGTTTTCGCCTACATGTTTCTAACGAGATTATCTACAACTTTCAATAATAAAATTTTACTTATTTCAAATTTTATATTTTCGCTAAATTTCACTATTTGGTTTTAATTGAAATCTCATAAGACTTCCAATATTTGATAAGTGATTCTAAACATAGTTTTACTTCATTTCTAGTAAAAACTATCTGTTAGAACTCAACACTCAATTTCACATAATATTATTAACTTTTCGAATTACATAACACGATTTGAAAACGTGTATGTTACAAATACCTCCTCCTTTTGAGGATTTCGTCCCCGAAATCACAACAATTTAGACAAATGAGGATATTTCGCTCTTATCTCATTCTTATTTTCCCTAAGTATAATTTGAATCTTATCAGTGGTGTCTTGAATCATTTCAGGATCACCAAGGATTTTCTGTCCTACATTATGCCAACATAATGGTGTTCACAGTTACTACCGAACTCTAAGACACATGCACGAAGCAAATCTTCTACTGTTCAGATTGTTCTCTCCATCTATACATATGTCTGGGGATGATAAGCTGTGTTGGGAGCAACTCGAGATCCCAATTCACT